TGAGTAATGAAGTCACATAGAGAACTGTTAGTTCAATTTTGAATTCGTGTATTTAACATCAATATAACCCAAATACTCTTGTGATTTTTATATTAAGAAGCATGCGCAAGCAGCATTATTTCTACAGTGCATCTGGCTATCACACTCTCAACACTCGTTGATACTTACTCTGCTCAGAGACGTATATGGCTTTATACGTCTCTGCTCTGCTATAAGCCTATGCCTCCTCATGGTCCATTCAACAACAAACATACGAACTTAAAAATATCGTCGGATTCTTGAGAAAGAAATAAACTTCTAAAAAATTCCACTTACCTTTATCTGGTGTCTAGTGATGTTCATACCCAAGACCACACCACCATAACCTCTGCCACAGTCTATATACAAACACTGGGTCGATCGCTAGGCTGGTGTGGTCTTCGGGTGTCCGCACCTACCCCATAGCGCTGTTTCCAGCGAAGGCGGGGTCGCTAGTGGTACGGGCCCAAAAACCGGGGAACGGTTCCCTAGGCGCGAAAACCTAGAGATTTACGAAGTAAGCTTGTGTGAACAATGAGTGTTATTTGCATTTCGACAACACCCACTTCCAGTCGACCATTTTGCCGACCAGAGGCGTGTCCCGACTACAAAGTGCAGTGCACGACTTTATATACTGTTGCCTACGTCATCATCACGGTGCCTGTGTAATAAGGTCGTTATCGTTCAACGTCGTAAGCGTAGAGTGTAAATACCGTGAATCAGCAGCGGAAATCAATGACGTTATGTCGAAATGACGAAATAAGTCGGATTGCACCACAGGTTGTAACATGCCCTGTCAGCATATTTAAAGTCACGAGGCGTGCGTTAAGGGAAATTGACATAATTGTCCGCATATAGCCACAGCTGGCTATAACAAAGATTGCCTAATAGATATTGCTGTATTGTCAGCTAGCTGTTTGAAAAAACAGACTGATAAGTAATATCACGGAATTAGATTATCTAAGTTCGTGGTAATATTGGTTGTGCATAAGGACTAATATTTATAATTTTGTGTCGTTAATGCTAGAAAGTTATTTAATAAATGAATATTTTCTTCAGTAGTTCGCAAACATGTTGTTGTGTATAATTATTATATGAATTTATCAGATTTTGTCACTTTTCTCTTAAAAATAAATGCATTTCTCATGTAACACGCGAGTTTTACAATGTAAAGAATAGTGAATAGTATATATATATTTTAAATTCAGTGAAAAGCAAAATTTGTCTCGCGTATAATAAATAAACAAGTGGTCACCATGCAACGGCTTATACCTATAGCTAGGACTAGTCCTGTAACTAGAACAGTCTTTTGTCGAGGTTTAAACCGTTATACAGTGTGTCTGGTTGGTCACTATGAGCTGATCAATAATGTTTACACGCAGTTAGGCCCTATATAATGACTTATGAAAGCTGTACAGAAATAAATCCATTCAGCGATGTTGTTTAGGTAGTAATTCCGTTTGAGATCTTATGAAAACGAATGACAAGTACCTAGATCTATATGTACAGGTACAAACAGGCACAGAATCTAAGTAACATGGTATTATACTGTTCGTATGCATGCTTTAAAATATTGGCCGACAATGACTTATTTGTTCGTTGGCCGTAGAACAATGAAAAATACATTTCCAATAAATCGAATGTGGGTAGAAAGAAATAGTAATGCATGTGCAGCTTCACTTGTAAAACAAACAGGAAAACTAAATCCGTGTCCAACAGTCTGTCGGTGTACTTGTAAGTACCAATCTCCCGAGAACAAAATAAATAAGAAACTATTTATCAAAATAAATCATTTCACTTTCAAATCATTCAGCAGGTAAAGTTAAGGTTTCTATTGTTTAGATTGACTTTGCAAATGATTAAAAGACAGAACAAAGTAACTTGAAATAAAATACTTCAGTTTCAGTTAATGCACTACTTCCTTGTTCCCCTAAAAGACAAATTGATAAATATACCATGTAGAGATACATCAGTACGTTCATACATTAGCATTATTATAAGGAAGCAAAACTGAGTGTAGAGTATATGTAACTTCGGTTAAACAAGATTTATTATTTTTAATAATTCAATAATATACAACATTTATATGCGCCCTATATAATTTGTATAGTTTTCAATGAAGAATGATTTGTTTAATATACATACTGGTTAAAAAGCACCAAACTGATTAATCTCTCATTTCTATATTTGTGTCACAGGTTGAAATAATACGTGTTAACTTTATATAAAATATCACAGTTAAAATGACAGAATTCCATATGGTTTTACATGCGAGACCGTGTTACGTATACACGTTCTCTTAAGAAATAATATTTAGATAGGTTTAGAATACTGAGAAAAAATTGATTGTAGCTGATCTCCATACGGATTGTAACTTCGGCTGGTGAAGAAGCGATACATCGTAAGATAGCATTCTCATTCGACGCAAAGTCTTCATTCCGATACACGCGCGTCCGCTTGGACACATATTCCTGGCAAGGGGCCTTGTTTTTATGTATCCAACAAAAATAACGGACTATGAATATCTCATAGGATACTACATTTTATATCTGGTTTAATTTATCATTATTTTTTTGTTCAACATTTTATACTACATATGAAGAATCTATAGTGACAAATATTCTGTATACAAGCGTATTAGTTTCCACATTATACAGTCGTCCCAGAAATATCAAATCTAAATATTAATATATAACTCAACACTAGTCTAGGTTAGTAACGAAACATACATATCAGTTGTTGTTCGTTTAAAGCCCTTGTATGCGTTAACATAGTACAGTAGTTTGTTGTTCTCCATAGTAACCATAGTTCATGTCTACATAAGGCAAATTTATGGCAACATAACAGTATATCTCAAAAATACAAAAGATACCTCTATTATAATTAATAAGATATCTTGTAAAGAATAGAAATATCGCATATAACCCTTATTGTATGAATTATTTCTAACACATTCAAATATTTTTTATTTCCTTTATATATATATCTTTATTTTTTATAGATATCTCTATCTCAATCAAAGATATCTTTCATTCGTTGAGAAAAATCGATCTCTATTTCAAAATATTCCTTATCACTTTTGTGAAATATCTTTAAATTTAATAGAGATATCTCTTAATGTATAGAGCTATCTCTAAATGAATTAGAAATATGTCTATTTCAAGATATCCGTAATAGAAAGAGTGGTACATATAATCTCTTTTAAGGTGTGTTTTCATTCTGTATTAAATAGTCACTTCATTGGCCATTTAAATGGGTATATTTTTGTTACAATAAGAGGGTTACATGGATTCGTGTGAGCACAAGACATGAGAAGACATAATACCGGATTTGACATGACTTGCACAAACTCGAGTTCATGTTTCAAATTCAATTTCTTCTGCAATCTAACCATATTGTAATTTCTCAAACTACTGGCAGCACAGATTTTAAAAGGTTATCATTTTGTATATCATTTGTATCTCAATTTTTTATGACAGTTTTTAAAAATATTGATCAATTTGTGGACTTTAAAAAAAAAAAGACGTCTAGATCCGTGAATCGCTTGAGTTGGCATTCTAACTTTTAAATCAATATGCACTGCACCTTTTTTCTCGTACCTTTCTTATATTCAATAAGCCATTATAAAAAGGTAGACTTAACGAACAAAGATCTACCTCGCATAATTCTTAAATCTCTCTATAGTCATACGTTGTGATACTTACAAAGTCGTTAAATAAGATAGAAATGTGTACGTGTGTACACTTCTTTATCTAACAAATAATCCATAATGTCCTTCATCCCTACTTAGTGGGCACCACGGAAATAGCTATCTTATTATATAAGTCCGTAATGGCACAAAGGACAGGCGTATTGTGTGTTATGCAAATTCAAGCATGTAGTTGCTGTCTTAAAAATAAACCATAAACTTTCGAACTAATTTCTGCTAATTTGAAGACATACATAAGCAGCAAAGATTATTTTAGTATGCAAACAGCTGTTTCGGAAAGTAGTTGAGAGAATGTGTAACACATATTTATATATGTTTGTATCGATTCCCGTTTCTTACATACAGATAAAACAGTGTGGCTCTTTTTTCGAGTACATCTTTTACACCTTTAGATGATGAGCGGACGTGTAAATATTGTCACAGCAGTTAAGTAGAATCTGAGATACATTTCCTTATTTGAGTGTGAATTTTATTTTGATATTCGTAGTTCACTGTCTAAACTTGCCATTGGTATCCAACCAGCTTTTATTAACTAACGTGATAAAGATGAATTTATATTTTTAATGAAGGAAGAATCCCTTCAATGTATTTAAGCTAAAGCTGTATTCTTCTGTGTCAGAAAACGACAGGCGTCCACAATTTTGTAAATGGTCTAATGAACATGTTAAAAGTTTTAAGTGTAATATTGATACAAGTATACTGTGATAATACTTGAATGGATTGTTTTTTAGCAATATATTAATACGCCTAATAAATTAATATATTATATGTATATAGAATAATTATATGTACATACTGTGATAATGTTTTAAAAATGAATTGATTTAATATAGAAATATCTTTATACGCTAAAAGTTTAAAATGTTTTGTTGTATATAATTGTATTGTGATAATGATGTCTCATAGGTCAAAACTGGCCGGACATTTCATATGCATAGTTTTTAAATCTTGTAAACAGTTTGATGATACATATACAAATATTGAAACGTGTGACTCGTTAATAAAATATTTATTGTCTAGATCTAGTCAAATTGACCGTCTGTTAAGTGTTTACAGGCTAACTGATCCTTAGTTGAAATTCCTATATTATTGCAAATATACTGCAAAACTCGCTTTCATATCTTCACTGTATGATATATTTTGTCGTGCTTAATATTTGTGATAACTCCGGAATATATATGGTGCGGATCACGTACGATCGATCAGATAGTTATTTTCGTTTTGTTGCAGCCTATTAGAGTTATTTCCCTTCTGCGAGATCTTCAACCTAACTGAACTGAGCTGTCAACTTTGGACCGGTGTAAGTAAAACATGAGATATGAAATACGTGTGACACTTTTCTGAAATAACACGTGACATACATAATCATCGATATATTTATTAATGATAATCTTTACATAATGTGGATAAAAATAACTTAATCCATGCCATAATTTATGTGATAACCGAAAAGCTATCAAGGAGATCATCATCATCATCAGACGGTAACGGGTTGTTTCGCCCCAAATCCCGTTCGCCCTAAGGGTTGTTTCGCCCAAAATCCCGTTCGCCCCAGGTTGTTTCGCCCTAAACAAAAATTTTCTTTGAGTCATAAATATCATGTTAAAAGTTAAAAAATATCTTTCTCTTGAATCAAGATATAATTACGTGCCGGAAGGTGAAGAACGAACCTGTATATTCATCACCGAATCCTACAACGGACATACTAATATCCGGAATATACTGTATATTATCGTTTTCATTTCTTTACCTTGATTAAGTAATGTTGTTCTTTATAAAATGCACCTGTATATATTTTAACGTTAAAAATATTTAAAACATGATATAAACAATTAAAAATCACCCTGTTACGTCAGCCATTTTATATAAAACAAATTTCTCTTAGTACATAGATACATATACGAAATGGACATAGATTAGGTACAAATTGCGTATAAGAATAAAAAAATAATAATACTTTAATTATATATATCTATGATATATAGATAAGATATGGATATTATGATATAATGAAACTAAATCAATTTCTCTAAGTACATTACTTATAATATATAGATAAGATATGGACATATAATGAAACTAAATTAATTTCTCTAAGTACATAGATACGTATACGAAATGGACATAGATTAGTTACAAATTGCGTATATAGACTGAAACTACATATGTATATTAATTGCTTATAAGGATGAAAAAAAATAATACTTTCTCTAGAGACGTATATAAAATGTAAATAATTCCCCAAGTACATAGATACGCATTTTAATTGTTAAGCAGATGTGTACATTTGAATTATGAAATAAACGTTGCTGTCTGCGTCTAACCACAGAGTCGCACAAAATGCACAAATCATCCATAACGTAAATTACGTTATGGATGATTTGTGCATTTTGTAACTTGTTATAAATAGAGCATTTCTCAGTACTGTGTTATAACTCAACATTACTAATGGTGAATTATAACACACTATTGAGAAATGCTCTATTTATGACAAGTTACCTACTCAAAATTATCTACTCAAATATGCATATTAATTTTTATTGGTCGGTACTATCACGGACTTAAATCTAATTCCGTGGTACTATCAAAACTTCTCAAAATGGACATAATCTCCAATTAGCAAAAAACAACACGGACGTGTGCAGAAATCAGGTAAAGAAAACATCGTCACACAGCGACGAGTATGCGTACAGCCGTACACTAAACTAATTTAAATGTGTTAACATGGAAAATAATATTGTTGTATACCCCGCAATTTTTAAAATTACACCATTTTTGTTTCATTTCACAATTCTTACTTATTTCTAAAATTAAATTCAATATATGTTATAATGTGTGTCGGCGTTAAGAAAATAACGTAATCCGTTTTTTGCTTTACAATGTACTTATAACCACACAAACTCCCTTTTTTAAAAAATAAAACTGATTTTAATGATATGAAAGACTAAGAAGACTTAATTTGTGACTTAAAACAAATAAAAATGAAAAGAAAATACCAAACAATGTTTCGCCCTAAAAAAAATGTTTTAGGGCGAAACAACCTGGCGCGAAACAACCTAGGGCGAACGGGATTTGGGGCGAAACAACCTGGAACCTCATCAGACAGCCAGATAACTGTACTGTACCACAAGCTTTCTGATATTTGATATATGTCTGTGACTGAGTGCTATTTTGTTGTAAATAAACCTGAGTTATAATAATAATATTATTATTATAACCCCATAAGGCATAACACTACCTTTATGTATCTGTAAACCGGTAAAGGCCCCTCCTCAATCAACACTGAGTCATCTCTCCCCACGCCCCTCCTCCACCTACTAGCTTATACATCTGTGTGTTTAAATATATACTTTGTAAATAAATCATGCATACAAACTCTCCCTACTTTGGATACATTGGTTTCCTCCGAAAGAAAGCAACCACCCCCCACC